GTGTGTGTGTGTGTGTGTGTGTGTGTGTGTGTGTGTGTGTGTGTGTTTGATCATTGAGGGATTATTATTACGTTATGAGGCTGGAGAGATGTAAAATATAGAACTGATCATTTTATAAAGGTGATGGGTTTAAAATCAGAAATGAGTAGAAAAGCTATTGCAACCTTGTAATTTTATTCATTTCTTTACTAGACTTTTGTACTGAGTGTATTGTTACATAAGGACTGATAGACTCATAGGACAGGACAGAGAAGAGAGTTGGATCATTGTTAATTATTGACCAAACTGTCAGCTGTTTCTCTGAGCTCCTGTATAAAAACAGGGAGTGTCTGACAAGCTTTCTGCAGCAAAGAGGACAGTGAAGGTAAGCAAGTCATTTACTCAAATATTGTCCGCTTTATCTGAAAACACACACACACGGTCTAGCACAGCTATCTTTATGGGGACATTGCATTGACTTATTATTATATTGCATCTCTGTAACCCTGGCCCCTTATTCTGAATCTAACCTCACAGGTACATAACTAACCCTAAGTCTAACCTAAACATAATTCACAACTTAGTCCTAAACATAACCCCTGACCCATGTGGATTAGGCTTAGTCGGTCCCCACAAATAGTTGTGTATGCTAAAAATGGTCCCGACATAGTAGTACACCCCCCCCACACACACACATCAAATATACATACTTGCATCAAATTGTGGATTTTGTTTTGACTTCCATTCATTTTTGTAACTGCATTACAGACATTTTCCCTAACACTGACCATTACTAGTCTATTCCTAACACTAACCTTAATCAAAATTTTATTCACACCATACCTCTAAMCCTAACTAGTAGAGAACAGCAGAGCTGCAAAAAAGTGAGGACCGGGAAAAGGACCTCACTTTACACAGAAAGACCTCACTTTGATAGTAACTATTGTGCAAGTGGTCCTCACTCTGCAGCATAAACAAGTACACACTCACATACACACCCACACACACATATTCTAATTACTCCTTTTGACTTGCTGTGTTTCCATCAACAGGCTTTGAAAGATGTGTCGTATCTTTGCAAGTTGTGCTCTGGCAGCCCTGCTGCTGGCTGTAGTTTGGGCAGATCACCATCACCACCATGATTCCAGTCACAGCCATGAGGGTGAAATGGCCTGCCATGTTCTCTCCCCTCATAATGCAGACTTTGCCTTCACCCTCTATAAACATCTAAATGCCAAGGTTGCTGCTGGACAGAACATCTTCTACTCACCGCTGGGTATCTCCACTGCTTTGTCCATGCTGTCTGTAGGGGCCCGTGGTGACACGCACACACAGCTGTTCTCCAGCTTGGGCTACAGCACCCTGGACCAGGCACGGGTCAATGAAGCCTACGAGCATGCTTTCCACATGCTCAACCACAGTCAAGAGAACCAGAAGCTGGAAGTTGGCAACTCTGTTGCTGTGCGCACGGGCTTCAACCCTTTGCCAGCTTTTCTGAATGATATCAAGCAGTTCTACACTGGTGAGGTCTTTAATGTGGACTTTGAGAAACCTGATGAGGCAAAAAACCAAATCAATCAACACATCGCCACTAAAACCCATGATAAAATCAAAGATCTGGTGAAGGACTTGGACCCACAAATGGCCATGGTTCTGATCAACTGGGTCTATTTTAGAGGTAAGGATGGGTAACTGAAATGTGTGGACATCCAACTGTCGTGAAGACCCTGAGTCTTCTCTTTAACATAATAAGACAAAAAATGTAAGGATTGTGTGAAACAGAATAACTAACTCCTAAAATGAAATCTTACAAAAACAAAATAATTTCTAAATAATAACACTAACTCAAAACTTTCTCATAGGACAGTGGGAAAAACCATTTAATGGCAACCTAACAACCAAGAGGGACTTCCATGTGGATGAAAACACCAAAGTTGAGGTTGACATGATGAAGAAGACGGGACGCTTTGATTACTATCGGGACCATGCCAAGTTCGTCACCGTTGTTGTTCTACCCTACAAAGGCAACACCTCCATGATGATTGTTCTGCCTGATGAAGGAAAGATGAAAGAAGTGGAGGGCTTTATCAGTAAGGACCACATCAGGAGTTGGTACAATTCTCTCTACAAGAAGTAAGAAAAATATTATTTATTTTGCAAAAGGCATTATGGTTGAAAATTGCTGCATGAATAGCACGGTTTGTGCTTCATAATTTATGGCTCTTTGGTTTCTAYAGCAATATAAATCTTTCAATGCCAAAGTTTTCCATTTCGGCCGAAGCATCTCTGGGTGAGACCCTGAAGGAAATGGGAATAGTGGATGCTTTTGGAGAGAAAGCTGACTTCTCTGGCATATCTGAAGATGTCAAGCTTAAAGTGTCAAAGGTAGGATGAACAAACGGTGGAGAGGATGCTGTCAGGACCAAATGTTTTGCATCTAAAAATGTTTTTTCCCTTGAACTAGACTGTAGACTGATTTCTGCTGGTTCTCTGCAGGTCTCCCACCAGGCTGTGCTAAGTGTGGATGAAACAGGCACAGAGGCAGCAGCTGCCACCACCCTTGAAATCATGCCCATGAGTTTGCCTGAAGTCATAGAACTGAACAGACCCTTCATGGTGTTCATCCTGGAACACTCAACAAGGAGCTTTGTCTTCATGGGCAAGATCGTCAACCCCACAGCCTAGTATAGACGCCTGGGAAGTGTATTGCTATCAAAGTTTTATGCTGCAGTAAGTTTCAGTAGCTTCAGGACATTTACTTTATCATTTGACACCACTTTAGTGGCGTGACCATTGAGTGTATAGAATGCCTGATGAGAAGAGGTGTTGAACAAGACAACGACTTGTTTTTCAAGAAACAGAAGGTACATCCATTAATCTCTCAGCATGATGCATTTATCATYTCCTTTGGTCACTAAATGTCTTTATACATCATTGTGGAATAAACTCCYCTTAACTGTTTGATGTAATAGAATAGAGTAATGCATTTGTCATTTGTAGCATCTGGTAAGACATGAAGTCAACTTGTACTATTGCTGGTTCAAAAGGGTTCCACTTGAACTGAAATAAAGAATGAAACTTGACTTTCATGTTTATTATTTCAGTTTATAATTTTTTTAAGTTTGAAAATTTTGAAAAGCAAATGATGCACAATAGGGAGGAGAAGCAACATTGCATTTAACCATAATGAATTCAAAGGTAGCTAGAACTGCAAAGCAGTTATGACCAGGGTCCAAGACCATTTATGCATGTCAAATTTGGCTCATGTTGTGTCCAACATCTTGTAGACCTTGTGTGCCACAGAGTTGTAGAATGATTGAGGAGTCTGTTTAGGACCCAGTGCATCAGCATCTCTTTAGCTCCTTCTCTACAGGTGTGCCTATATAAACAGTTCTCATCGATTCAAGGTCAGCCAAATGTGTCTCCATTTTCGGTTCAAACCGTGCTTTTGGACGTACTTTAGTGGTGGTTATAAGTGGGTCAAGCCAAGTATTACCCACAAGTGAGTTTGACATCAGCAGATTTCTGCCTGTGGATTGACTGAGCCAAGGCAGGACTTGCAAAGTCCTTCTGCAAATTTATCCTGGAGGGTTGAACAGGAGATGAGCTTGAGCTCGAGGAAGCAGTCAGAAATTAGCAGGTATACTGGGAGGTTTCAGACAAGTTGCCCTCTGTTACCTGCACACTTATAAATGGTAAATGGACTGTACTTAAATAGTGCCTTTCTATTCAATCAACATAGTCAAAGCTCTTTACGCTTACAATATGTGCTCTCATTTACCTATTCACACACACATTCAATCAGCACTCCACTAAATTTCTCTACAAAACAACAAAACAGGTACATCAATCTGCAGAGATWAATCAGTGCTTTAACTCACACTCATACACTGATGGGACACACATCAGAGGCAGTGAGGGTTATGTGTCTTGCCCAGGGACACTTCAACATGTAACTGAATAGTGGTGGAATCAAACTGCCAACTCATGGTTAAAGGAACGACTTCCCTAACCACTCATCCACAGCCACAACAGAAAAAGTCAGACTACCAGAAGAGCAGTGTGCTAGCTTCCCACAGAGGAGACTGGAGTAGACTAATGACCCTATAATTCAGAGGATCCCAAAGATCAGCAATCTAATGTTTGGAATTGGTTTAATTATGCATTTTTGCCTTTCAGACAGGACCAAACCCTGTTCAAAACGTGAAAAAGCTTTATATAGAATTTGAAACAGACCAGGATGTTTAAAGACTTTGGTAAATTGTTATAGCCCAAAGGTTTCCWAAATTTTAACTTGCCAATAGCCTCATGAAGTTTATTCTCTGAAATATGAGAATTGAAATAAAGATTTGAGAAACTCAGATTTTTAAATGTAATTATTAAGAGCTACTGTACTTTCTAAAAAGGAATGATCCTATTCAGGGGAGACAAAACTACTGGAAAAAAGCTTCAAAGTCAGTTTCCCACTTTTTCAAAACCTCTGCAATAAAAAGGCATTAGGAGCTGAACCACTTCTAAAGGAATATTTTTAGTTTTCTGGGGCCTAACTGATTTATCAAATTCCAGCATGCCTGAGGATTATGAGTTTGATAAATTCAATCTTTAGTGCTTGACCTCTCTGATTTTTACTTTTTAAATGTTCTAAGTCTTTTATCAAATACACTTTATCTTTAAATTCATTTTTTAACAGATGTTTTAAATCCTTATCATGACATTTCAAAAATATTTTCACAGCAAATCTCACGTCATTCCATAAAACATTCCAGTAAAATCTGTTTTGCCTTGTTTCTTATTTTTACGATTTACTTTTTACTGGGTCTTATAGCATCCTAAACATATTTGCAAAAACTATCATACAATTCATTTATCAAACTTTGATGATTAACATGATTTAGCTAGTCTACAAATTTACTGGCCACAGATTTTAAATAGACAGTTGAAAAAGAACATAAGAATTTTATAGTATAATATTTTGAATTTAATTAAACTGACCTGCACCAAGACTGACGTTTCCCCGTCCCCTAAAGGTAAATTGAATAAATGGACTGTACTTACATAGTGCCTTTCGATCCATCCAGGACACTACAGAGATACTGTCACAGTCTGTGTTTATGTTTTATTGGATTTTCTAGTGTTTCAGTGTTACCCTGTGTTTCTTTGCCCTGCAGCCCCACCCGCACTCACCTATTTCCTCTTGTGCCTCCTCCARATGTTTCTCATTTGTCCTCATTAGTTGCCTTTATATTCTGTGTCTTGTCCTCAGTCTGTGTCCGAACATCTGCAAGAAAAGTGTGAGAGAAAAGAAAATCATTGGAGAAAATAAAATAACTAAAGGTGTGATTACAGGAATTCCAATTAATGAGGATTTGGAAAAGCTTAAAAAAAATGTTTATGATACAGAAATACTCAAAGTTACAAGACTTTTGAGAAATGTCGATGGAGAAAGGGTTCCCAGCATGTCAGTGCTGTTGGAATT